AAGTTAAATTTTGCCTTATCAGTCCAGAGCACCAGCTGCCATTTTTCTGCACCCCTCGTGTTTCTATGCATATTTGAGTCGCGTGGCCTTGTTTCAATGTTAGAGGTTTGGCTTTTTGGTCGCAAGTCTTTCCTGAAGGCTACTTCTGACCAGACCTCTCTGGACAGTAGATGGGTATACCAGGGTCCTAATGTTTTCTGCATTTCTGAGCTGATGGCACTACTGAACTTCCCATTTTGAAGGGAAGTCAGCACGATGTGTTTTTCATCTTGCTTGTGTCTACGGTCCTGAACGTTGCCTGTTTCTTTGTGCTTCTTCAAAAGAGCTTGGACAGCACATCTGGAAACTCCTGTCTGCCTTGAAATGTCTGCCTGGGAGAGGCCTTGCTGACGCAGTATATCTACCTGTCTCTTGTTACTATGCTCAGTCTTACCAAGGTGTATGAGCTTTGACAGTAACCTTTCTTCATCAGCCTCACCTTGTTAGCTGAGTTTGGCTGTTTCTCACCCACCTGTATTCCTCCTACACAGCTGTTTCTGTCTCAGTTAATTACTGTGTTTCAACCTACATATTGAATTGGTGATCGTTAGCACCTTATAATTGTTTGAACAAAACACCTGATGATACGCCTACAAAATCCCTGACCTTGTGCAAGTGTACCTTGAAGAATTTATGCTGTTTTGAAGGCAAAGGGTTGTCAGACCTAATAGAGTTACAATTTCGTTCTGTTCACACACTTTGTATTTTGATAACTGATAAACATAATCTATTAACACTCTAACTTGACTGCATTTTCCCATACTGACCTCAGATCTTTGCACAGTACTGTACATCAACATTATGAGAACTAACTAAAGTAACACACTATTTTCAGGATTTTATTTATTTTTTGGTGTGTAGTGATTTGATGTGTTAGTTTGCCCCATGTCTAGCCATGACCAGCCAGCTACCAGTCAGCTGTAGATATAGACACAGGTTTGTGTCCTGTGTGAAGCCAAAGGTTTAATTTTTATTTGACTGGGGTGACTTATTATGTTCAGTTTTTTATTTCTTTTTATCCCCTTGACGCTGACTGTCGCGAATTCGCATCATACCTCTTCCTTGCAGACTGCAAACCAAGATAGCACATGGATTCCCCCAATGCCTGTTGGTGCATATTTGATACATACCTAGGAAAGCAAATGAAAACACAAATAATTTCTTTGATTTTTTTTTTGTAAAATAATTCAGGTGTTAAGGGGTTATTATTTATATTTATATTTATATTATGTATATCAATTTGGTTGGTTTCAGGTGGGACATCAACAGTGGCTTTAGAGCAGAAAGCCCTGAAGGCAAACTGCACCTTTGCGTATAGTTTCAGAAGTCTAGGGTTACCATCTAGACATACTTTTGGGGAGCTGTCATGTCATTCATCTTTATTTACAATCTATGATTTCAACCATTTATCCATTAATTTATTTCAACTGTTTATTCCCATTCCCACACAATCTCCATTGTGTAACATGTTCTGATGTTACAGCTATCTCAGCAGATGTGGATTTAAAAACTAATCTAATTGTAATATCTGGTTCTGCCATATCTTTCCTTTTTTCTGTAGCACCCAAACTACACGTTCAGCCTTCCTTGCTCTAAGTGAGACTTTAGTAATGTATGGCGTATGTGCAACGGTTTAATTTAGAGCCAAATGAGAGTTCCTTGATGATGAATCCTGACGATGGGAAGTCGTGTGGGTAGAAAGGATGAGTCATCCATCATCTGTCCATTGCGCTAGGTTACTGCCGCTGGTGCAGAGCAGAGTCGAGCCCATCTCACGGCACTGAAGGAGAGTGATGTCAGAGCTGTCACTGTACTACTCTCTCATCAGCACCCTCTCACAAAGCTCTTGGTATTTCTGCACTCAGGGCAGGGTTGAATACAATAATAGCACAGAGTGAAGAGTACTGTCTTTATTTAGCCCCCTGTCTCTGAATTGTTAACCCTACTTTAACCCTACCCCTTGTTTCTCACTTTTCCCCCTCAACTGTGTACTGTTTTTAGCTGTTTCTGTCCTGAAGCTTGCACATTACACTGCGATAAGTTAGAATGAATGATGCAATGAAAATAAACCTGTGGTTTTGAAGAAATATGGAGACACTAAATGTATTGGAAAGTCCAACAGGCTTGTTTCTTCCTCAAATCTTCTTCCTAATAAAGTACAGAAAAACATAACATTACACATGTGTCATCTCACTGACGTGTTGTTTGTGTGGTATGCTTCTTTTTTAGAACAACACAGCTTAAAAGGGCTCTGTACATGACAGCCATCATGAATGGCACAGTGTGTTAGCCAAACACCTGAAATTACCACCCACGTGCTATGGCAAAAAAAATTTGCAGATGTGCTCTTGAGCAACTTTTTTTCTCCTCTTGTTGTACAAGGAATTGCCAGTACATGTAGCTGGTGGCTCTGGTTTTGTGAAGTAAGTGACTCATCATTGGACAAATTACAAGGGTTACATAACTACTGTACTTTCTCAGCATATGTTAACTGTTCTCTGAAGTGACTTCTTGGTATCATATTAGCAATCCTAAGGATCCATGTGAACAAACCTCCATATATTTGTCTTTATAAAGTGATCTTATTATGTTACAGGTTTCACTAAGTTCAAGGATCTGACTTTTCTTGCCCTGTTAAAGATATGTAATTTATTTGTGTTATGTGTTATTTATGTGTGTTATTATCTTAAAATCTACATGGAAATATGGCTGTTTACTGTAGTGCTTGCAATACTTGCATACTGTGATTCAACAAACAATCTAATTCCCAAAATTATGTCTAAAGATATGTTGTCTTGACGTTGTCTTGAAAAACTTTCTCTAAGGCTGTACTGCCCTCTTCTGGTAACTAATACAAAATCTTTTCCACACTACGTGGATAAATTGTTTTAATTAGTTTTTATTAAACAAAGGAGAAGAATTTAACAAAGCATCAACTTCCTCTATATGGAAAACAATATGAAGAATCAAAAAAGCAGATTTGATAAGATCATGTGATCTTACCAAGATTAGAATTCACAATGGTATGAGATGAGATGATACTCATTTATACTTCATTTGTAATATGAAGATAACATTTTTATCTTTACATGCTTTGTATACCAACATTAACATAGGTTAACAGACTGCTTTACATATAAATACAGACCATTTCTTCTGCCCCATCCCCAAACCATCCCACTCCACCACCTCATCCACCCATCTCATTCTCCAAAGCTCTCCCACTTATTCCACACATGGTAGAACCTAGGGGTTGGTAGAACCTAGGGGTTGAGCCACCCCTAAAGTGTAACATGATAAATCTGACGTGCTCTGAGGTGTAGACATAGTAGATGAAAAGTTCTGATACATAAAATTTGTATTTGTTGCTTGTCTTTTTGGTGAGCTAAAGGATAATTTTACCTATTTGAGCCTCAAAGGTTATTTACTGTAAATAACAGCATATGAGCGGTTTGGAGGGGAAATGTCTCTTTGGTGTAACTGCTTACAACTCATAGACATCTAAAACATGACAAGATACTGATCTTTTGAAAAAACATCACAAGCCAAAAACCCTGGAACCACTGGTTTAATCTTTAACAATGCATTGTGTCTTAGAAGCTTAATGTGTTTTTTAATGTATAATTGATAATCTGTAGAAGATAAGAAGATAAAGTAGCATAAAGTGCAAATGCTCTCATAAATAAGTACCTCAGAACTGTGGTAGTGGTTCTAAACAGCCTGATGGTGCCGCTTACCTTTGTTGTCAACAGGAGGGATGAGGTGTTGAAGATGTATCTCCCACTCTAAATGCTGATGCGTGAATTTCTTAGTGCTGCTGATCCATGCCAGAGGCGGACAAGGAACCCTTGCATTTATTGCTCAGGCTCACTTGACACCATCTGCATCCTTCTGTTCCAGTTATGTAGGGATTCAGCAATATTAATTTAAAGCTGGATTCAAATAAAGCAAGATATGGACTTCATGTATGTGACCTTGTAGGAATTTTAAACAACATTTGGCATTTTGGATCTTTATAAAGGATGTTTAGGGATCCATCTTAAAATGTCATCACAGCAAAAAACCTAGGCCTTGGCCGTGCATGCTGTTCATGGGTTGGTGAAAAATCTAGCCAATTAACATTGGGAATGCCCGAGACAGGAAAGGCAGAGTCAGTGGGGATGACAGTTGGTACAAAGGGCTAAGCTGTGTGCTTCTGTCTGTGGAGATTAGAAAAAAAAGCTCTCTCTAGTAAACGTGATCACAGATCAACGGGGGAAAGTTTTCCTGATGGCGTCGTTTACCATGGACTTCATTTAGGCACGACACAACAAAAGGCTTTTCCACTCCCACTTGAATTTACAATTTGCCAAGTGACAAACCTCTGGAGGGCACCAAAACAATAACTATATTATTCACGTAGCATAATGAAGATGTTCTGTCCTGTTGCAAAATTCTTTCTATCAATCCCCAATCTCCATTTGGCATTATTGTTTGTCCTGAGATGATACGATGAGACGATAAAATCACTAAAGACATATATAGATATATGGAAAAAAAAGTAATTGTGATCACTATAATCAAATGAGGTGAATCAAAAAAAGCTCCCGCCACAGCCACAAATGACATTATACCACTGTTTTTACAGGCTGAGTGGTACTCTGAGTGATGAGTGAGCTGAACTTGATGTGTAAAATCAGTGGAGTGCTCCTTTAATATCTCAACTATGAACCTTGAAAATATGTCATCAGCTTTGGCTCAGGAGGTAAAGCAGGTTGACTGCTAATCGAAAGATCGGTGGTTCTTGTCCTTGGTTACCCCGAATTGCTCCTGATGGCTGAATGTTAATCGCTGTTCTTACCCTAAAAAGGCACTATACAAGTACTGACCATTTGCCATGTAGCATTAGATAGAGATTAAAAGAGAGAAATGATGGAGACAATTATTAAAGTGATACTTCTGCTTTATTTATGTTCTGTATTTATATGAATGAAACTAATATTTAAAGATATCAAAAAAGTAAATTCGACATAGATCCAAAGCAGAGTTAGGAGAGCCAAAAAGCATTCAAGCTGGAACTACTTTCAGGATTTTGGTTATATTGATTAATCTTGGACTTGTGCAGCTCTAGCATCGCAGGTCATAGATAGCATAGTTGAAGACATCATGATCATCAGTTCTTTTCCTCGGGCGGCTGCCCGTTGATCAGGCCGGACTCCCAGCGTTGCCACAGAGGAGCCTTCTGACCTCCTGCTTTGAGAACCTTTGGCTCCTGCTGTGAGATAAGACAGAGAAAGGGATTTAGAGTGAGAGATTAGTCGACCGCTCCCTTTTTCTTGATCCTCTGAATCTGAGATACATTCCAGAACCACTTGCACTAATCCAAGCATTTGTAAAACAAATAGTATTTGCCAATTCTTAAAAGCGAATGTCTTTTTTTCATCCATTTTAGGTTCCATCCATGCATGAGACCACTCCGTGATCCAGAAAGCCACATATGCAGTAACATATTTGAAATTCAAGTCAACGTAACTTTTTACTGATATGGTAAACCTCACATTTAGTAGGCCTACTTATCAGCACTGTCTTAGGGATTTCAAAACAATACATAATGAAACTTTTTGATGATTATCCATCCTGTAGTTTCCCTGAATTATTGGCTATATAACATGATGTCACACTTTCTTTTCACCAGTGTTGCACACAACACACATGCACAGATGTTACAGAACAATGGAGAAAACAAAAAGATATTTACAGTAATTAGACCTGGTGCATCACCTGTGTCTGCTCAGATTTCATCTGGTCTTTCTTGGAGGGAGGTGGCCAAACCCGTTCCAGTTTCCCCGTGGACTGTTTCCTGACATCTAAAGGACAGGAGATATGCAATTTAATATAAAGGGATTTGATTAAGCAGTTTCCTTTAAACCATTAAGAAACTTTAACTAGACTAAACCAGTGTCGTTTGTCTGTTGTAACTTTATCAACAAACATTAGCATATCTGGCTAACTAGTGTTTCTTCCATGGCATGCTACATTATTATGCTCAGTTTATGATCACGTTAATCAGCCTTAAGATTGAAATGAAGAACACGTTGATGTGACATGATTTTAAACCTCCAGATTATTTCAGGTATAGCTGACTCTATAAGGGTTAAATTTTCAGTCAGTGTCGAAACTGTGCTGAAAAGTCCTCTATGAATATATCACCAGTGTATTTGGTACATTCTTATTCAGTATTGTGTCATGGCTGGTTAGGGTAACCGACTACAGCTTATTTGACCTGAAGAATAACTAATTCTCTCAGTTTAGCCCAGCCCTCAGGAACATTATACTGCTTTCACATGTGGCGTCATCATCTTCACCTTGAGTCAACCCATGCATCATTATCCAGCTGCTGAAAACACTGTAATGTTTTGTCAGGTCTCCAAGCTCTCCTGCTGTGCACATAGGCAACAACAGCAGATATTAAAAAAAAAAGAAAAAAAGAAAGAAAAAATGGATGAAAACTGTACTGACACAAACATACTGCATTGCTTTCAACAAGACCTATCAACTGTCTGAAGTCATTCATATTTACACAACACTATGATTGAACCAGAGCTGCCCATGGCTCTAGCTGGAGTACAGATAGTAGCCGCCGTGTTGTCACTCAGCCCGCTGACATCAGCTTACTAAGATCAGGCTGCTTCTAGGGTGATGTGCCCTTAACCGTCTGTGACAGGTGTGACACTAAGTTGTCAATAAGACTCCTTAGATAACACTACGTGATGCTAATGTAGAGAGGCATTCAGTGAAGTGCTCAGACCGAGTGCCAGAAGGCTGGGACGTGCAATGAGTAAAGAGCTAAGTGACTCTTATTATACATACTCGTAGATACATGATGAATCTCAGCAACCTGATGGAAATGATCCAGAAATGTTTTGAAATTTTCTACATACTTCATCTTAGCACTGCTACTCATGTTGGACATATCACAGAGACCACGCAGACTAACCTGGTACAAGCGTTGGTGTGAACCGAGATTCTTCTCCGTCTTCACTATTTGGCCTATTCTCTCCGTACAGAGTGCTTCTCTGTTTGCGCAGCTCCTCCTCTCTTTCTTTGGCCTCCCGGATGTCCTTCTCTACTCCTGGCTGCAGAGCCAGGGCAGGACGCAACTTGTAGAAGGGGTTTTGTTCGAGGATGAAAGATTCTTGTATCATGTTCCCTTCCCTGGTTTTGTTCCTAGTTACCAACGCTGACGTCGGGACATCAGTGCTTAAGGAGTCCATGCTCTTGTACGGCCGCATGTTCTTGTCTTGTGTTGGGTAGGGGTATAAGCGTGTTTTGTCTCGAGAACCATCAGTTGGGCTCTTTGATCTTAAGTGTTCGGGACTTTTCTCCATCTCAGATGTTGCAGATTTGTACAGCCTGAGGGACTGCGCTCTGAAAACGCGGCGACTTTTGAGTGAAAACATCTCTAGGCTTCGTGTGCGCTCTAGCACAGAAGGGTAAACATGACTTTTTAGCAATGAGGTTTGTGGTTTCCGGTGCCTTGTTGGACCCTCCATGTTATCCTGCTGGAAAGCCTCAAACAGCAGTTTTGTCTCCTTTAATTGGCGGACCTCACCTTTGCTGTATCCCCCTGGGAGCTTCCCCTGGTTGACCAGCACCAGTTCTCTCTGAGTCTCCTTACTTATCTCCTTCTGCATCTTCTGCTCCGAGAACTGCCAGTCACTTCCTTGGTCTGGGCCAACCGTGGTGGTAAGTGTCTCAAGCAAGATGTTGGTCTTAAAGGGGATCTCTAGCACATCTGGATTATCTGCGAGATTGAAGACACCACCGGCTCTCTGAAGGTTCTGCTTTTTCTGGGCTGCCTCCTGGATCTGTCTCTCAATGGAGGTCTCAGTGGCTGACAATCTGTGGCGGGTGGATGGAAAAGGAATTTGGGTGGAAGATGTGTCATGAGAGTAAATTGGAGACAAATGTGCAGGTATCCAGCTGTCACGTTGATCATCATCAGAGTCTCCTGCCTCTGTTCGGGCAATCATGTGATGCTCTCTCTCTGCAAACATTGTGGACAAAGACATACTACCTTTTGTGTCAGCGTCTTTACTCTCATGCTTTTCATTCTTCTCCACCAGGTTTGTTTCTGCTCCCTTATCCTCAGCAGTGTGAGATCCACTCTCCTGCTTCTCATCTCCACCTGTCAGATCCCCTTCTCTTGCTTTCAAATCATCTACATCAGTCCCAAGCACACCCTTTATCTCACCTCTCGTGTCTTTGACAACCTGCTGGGAGGTATGAGGGCCCTCTGGTATTTGTACATCCTGCCGTAGCTGCACCTGTTGCAAACGTTCAAGCAGTTGCTCTCCTTGTTGGATATCAGTTGCTATTCTCCTGCTTCCATCTCCCTGCTCTCCCTTTGTCACCATCTCTTCAGAGATGGGGAGTTGGGGCACTTGTGTTTCGCTAGTGCCACTCTCTCTCCTCACCCAGTCATACTTTGTGAGGTTATAGTTCAAAGATCTGGTGTCAACATGCTCTCCGTCGTCATTGGACACCTCTGTTGGGATCTCTGGTAGCTGTGGCTGATTGGTTATCTTGTTTTGGTTGCATTTGTAGAGCTCTGGTGGCCCACATGACTCAAAATCATCATCATTCACACTGACACTAGACAGTGTTGGGGCATTTGTCTCCACATTTCCCATCATTTGCATTGAGTCTGTCTCAGCAAGACCACAAAAGTCCTCCGATTTTGTTTTGTTTCCTTCTTTGTCAAAATGTGTCTCATTTTCAGAGAGATATTTGTCTCTCTCCACTTCAGATGCCTTCCAGTTTTCCTTACCTCCACTCAAAATGACAATATTCTCAGATTCCTCGTTTGATTCTTTGTCTCCTGTTCTGTTATCCTGATGGTGTCTTCCGGATGGATCAAAACATGTTTCCATCAGACTACCTGTCCCCTCCATGGATGTTTGGTCTTGATCTTTTGGTAGAGCGGAGTTCTTGTCTTTGGACAGAGATATGTTGTCCGTAGACTCGTTGGAAGTATGCGTCGTGCTTGTTATCACTTCATCCACCTTGTTGTGTGCTGCCATTAACTGCTTCTCACCATGATGCCCGTCTAAGCCACTGGGATTAGCTTTAGCCTCAGTGTCGTCAGCTGCCAAATTTGTAAGGGTCACACTGGAATTATTCACTGTTGCATCTGCGCTGCTCTCTGCTGGCAGCAAAGGAGCCACGTAGGTTGGCGGAGGTGGTGGGATGAAGACATCATCTGTGCCCTCATCATCCATCACGCTGTAGTACCTAGGGATCACTGCAGCGGCAGGGGGAGTGGCATTGGTTTCATCTTGGGGCCTCTCACCATGGGTTACAGATGGGCTCTCTGTGTGGTCTGTCACAGGGTTGGAGTCCATCTTCATCCACACACCACAATCATCTTGGGAGGCCAGACCTTGAGGGCTGGGTCTGGGATTTCTTGTTTCCATGGGTACAAGCCTTTGAAGCCTTTCTTCTCTATTCCCCTTTAAGTGCATTCAAGTTTAAATATGAGACACGTGAGAAAATGTCACTCAGGTTAAAGATAAAATCATTTTACAAAACAGAACTATCTTTATATCAAAGTGTATGAGATTCTGAACATTAATACAGCAGCAAACAACTATTTACTTTGCAAAGATACAGTGGAGTAATGGCGTGCTGAGCAGATAATGACGACACATGTGTGTTGCCATCTGAGTTTCTCTGTTCTTTGTTTTGGTAGCTGGTCTTGCTGCTTCTTAGTGTATAGTTTTTAGCTAGACAGAATGAAGATCTGTGCTGGTTTATGAGCAAAAATTTTTCATCATATTTTTGTGCTTTGATTGCTTCAGCCCACAGTGCCATAATACTTCCTGGCCCCAGGTTTGCTGCATGGTCATTTGATTAATTTCAATTTAGGAATATGCAACAAATAAGCACAAAAGTGAAAAAATGTAGGTTTTGAAACATGTCAAGAAAAGTAGAAATGCACCACTAAAGGCAGTGAAGAAGAAAACTGGTATACTTGGATGTCAACGGTGCAAGTTTTAAACTCTCCTGGCTTTGCAGACATTTATATGGAAGGAAATACATTCAAGCAAACTCACAACATGTTTTAGGGAGTAACACTGAATATAAACAGAAACTTTATTATTTACATGGAAACTCCACAGGGCACCTTAAAGCCCTCATTATGTAAGTTTTGTATTAATTGTGCATATTTCCAAACAAATTCTCTGTTACATTAGCGCAAACAAATCCAGGCCCCTGGAGTTCTGCTGTCCCAGGGCAGTTTCCTGCTTTGCCCGGTTGGTAATCCAGCCTTACTACAGCTTTCTCTTGGCTTTGATGTTTAATTATCAAGATTTCTTAAGATGCCTCTCTTAAAGTCTTCTGCCTGAAGTGATTTAGGACGTATGTTTAAAAGCCACCAAAATAATGACTTTTTTTCAGCAGGGCATACAGCTTATGTGTTGTTTTGGTGACTTTTCTCCCCCACTGTGACCTAGCACAGCCAATTCTGCTGACAAAGGGAAAGAGTAATCCGCTTTGCTCTGTCTGTTTTGGCATGCACACTATGTACAGTCTCTGCCTGATGTGGCTGATTGGTTTCCTCCTCATCTGACCAGTTTGCCTGTTAAGAATGACGCTTTTCCATCGTTCTGTCTGGTTGAACAGACCATAACTCATTATGGTAACGCCTGTTATCTGTGAGCCATAGTGACTATTCCTCTTTACTAGACATGTATGGTGCATTTACAATGACACATCACGGAGAACATGGATACACTATGCGGTGTCACTGAAAACTTTTTGAAGACTTGTTCTCCTTAATGTAAATATCATTCTGGCATTATCTGGTTCTCTGAGCTGCAGCTTTAAATTCACGAGACTATATTTACACATGCATTCAGAGGCTTAATGCCAGCCAAACTGTATTTCAGGATTACCAACAGCAGCATCATACTGTATAATGCTCAAGCAATGGGACATGTTGATGCATCTTAATGAGCTTAACTTGTTTATTCCATCCTCCTTTCAAGGAACACTTTCTACGCTGTTGTTGTTGTTGTTGTTGACGAAGTTCTTATAGATGACTTTAAATGCTATTCAAAAATATTCAAATATTTTGCTGTATTACACTTACAGTGTCATGATTTCATTATCCAACATTTGGGCACAGATGTGATAATGGCTTTTGTGATAGTAGCGTACACATACAAATTCTATCATTCTTACAAATATTTAAGGAAAACATAAAGTTTTGATGATTATGACATCATCTTTAACTCTATTTGTTCGTGGTATGACCAGATTTAGCTTTGCTATTAATACCTGGCACTCAATCAGGAAAAGAAACGAGTGAAAGAAAAGCAAACAAGTTCACAGCTAAACAAACAATGTAGAAAGTTTGAAGAGACCCACCTGACTGTAGCGCTGCAGTCATCTTCAGTGCGTGATAGGACCGACCTCAGTGGAAATATTAATGATCCAGCTGATCTACTTAGCACCTGTACCTTCCCCTCCTCTGTGTCATGTGAGCAAACAAAATCCTCTTCTTTCAGAGGCAGTACGCAGTTGAAATAACCCACAGCAGCACTGTAGTGATTCAAGTGTGTACAGTATGACATTCCAGAGTTGAATGGGCCATTACAAAATTATAATGTATAGTTCAGCAGTCTTACTATGATGTCATAACTACTTCAAACTGAGCTGTACATGGAGTTTGACTTTAGGAAGACACTGAATGTTGTTGCGCCGTCTAGAGATGTGGAACATGTTCACACTGCAGTGTTTTTTGTGTTTGTGTGAAACTGTGAGTACAGTTTATATCAAAAGTGGGATCTTGAAGAAATTAGACACAATGGACATACTAATTATATTGTTTTATAATTATGTTCCAGTTAACATCCACTGTAATTAATCAATGTTATACCGAATTACAGTGATACAAAGGTAACAAAGCCTGCCTACTAGCTAGACAACTAAAACTCACTGGTGAACACATGATATTTTGTTTGTTTAATTCATGCAAAAAAACCCGACATGCTGCAGTGTCAAGGGGCAGCTATACAGTAAGTTAAAACAAATAAAGGTATTTCCCAAAAAGCTGAACTATGGATTTTGACACTAAAATACATCTGACCCAGGAGTTAGAGTAGAATACAAACTCCTCCTCAGGACATTAAAACCCCCAAAAGTTGGCTCCCTAAGCTACAGCCCTGAGTGGTAGTGGGTAAGACAGTACATATTTAAAAGTATCAAAAGGAGGTTTCAAGTCAATTATTTTTCACCTCATGTTAACATTAAAGTTACACAATAAAACACACCATAATTTCTATTACAAATACTTGTAACATATGCCTTTTCCATTCTTAGAGCAAACAAAGCTAAACATAGGCTATGGACTGCTTTTGGCACAAAACATGTCCTAAAGCATGGAGACAGTTAAGGTGAGAAGTATCTGCATGCCTGCAGGAGAGCATGTTGAAATTCTCAGCTTTATCCACCAGAGGGAGGAAGTGGGTTTAAATAGCCCCTCATACCAGTTGCCAGTCCATAGATGCTAGAAAAGACATACAACATAATAAATGTCTCCTTCTTTGGCAAAGTGTAGCGGTGGGTGCTCAGAGCCAAAACCGTTCTAATATAATACAGACGGTGGTATATTCTCTTATATCAGCCAGGATGGAAGACACAAACATTACAAATGATACGCTGATGTGGGAGTCTCGCTCTCCAATCATTTTCTTACATGACAGAGCAACACTGACAGGTCATGTGCTTGGAGGTGCCTTCTACTTCTTCTACACTGGGTGAAGATGAATCACGCAGCACCTTATCGCCTCCCTCTTCTTGGACTTTAACTCCTGGCCCATTTCCATCCAGGGCAATGTCCTGAAACACTTTGTCTTGCAACTCTTTCCCTGTCTGAGGTGAAGCAGATGTATCAGGCCCTAAGACGTGTTCTTCTCCTTCCTCAGTGATAATCACTCGTTCCACAGTGAGCATGCCTTCATTGTCCTTCTGGCCGTGACCGTTGTCAGTTGTAGCATCACTGTATCCCAGGAACACAAGAGTGACCGGGCCTTCCTCCAACCTCAGATCCTCCATGTTTTCTACTTCTCCAACATTGTCTCTAACTGCCATGATGCTTCTCTTCTTTTTCTTATCCTCCTTTTTTCCCATAATTGCAGCACAGTTCTCATTCTTCAGCTCAGCTTCCAAGTCGTAGCTTCTAGAGCTGTCTAACTGCTTGTTGTCCTCTTCTGACCAGACTTTTACCTCTGGAGCTCTGTTGACATCTACTCTCTCTAGCTTTGTCTCTGCCTTGTTTGGCGTGACTGTGACATCATCCAGCAGCACCTTCATCCCGACCCCATCAATAGCGCTCAAGATCTGCCCGAGCTCTTCAGTGGAGGGTTGGGCTCCCATTCCCCCGACAGCGTGGATACTCTTCCGGCCATCGTCGAAGATGGTGGTAGCCGTCGCTGCACCAGCTGGTGTGGATACGGGGGCCACTGACCTGATGACGGTGGCACCTGTCTTAGGATCTCTTTCGACCTGCACTGCCACTGTTCCCAGGACTGCAATATAGGAGACAGAACAGAATTCAAACTAGGAAGATAAAATGCTAGAAGGTAGACAACACTCAAGGCTAAATTACAGATAAATATTAACATTCTCTCCAGCTGAAGTAATTTTTTATCTAAGGCTATTTTTTTATCTTATCAAACTGTCCTTATGTTAATTATGTATCATAGACCTAGGTGTAATTTAAACGTGGGAGGTACAATAGACAATATAATGAGACACAATAAGCAAAACACAACAGCTTTTTACTCCACACAGCCCTCCAGCAGGCATAAAAAATTAACCAACAGAAATTGGTTTGAAAAAAGTGGGCTAAATATAATGTTGTTCTCAGGCCATTCTCCTCTGCCCCTTTGTCATATCCTATGGGCAGAGCCACAATAAATAAAGCGGTCATCATTTCAAGAGGAGCATAGAGGGACTAATGCAAATAGCTAATGAGATTCTGTAGCCTAGATTTCTGTTTATCAACTCATACACAGTCACTGGAAAAAGACTGTATATATTTAAAAGACATTATTGTTTGTGTGGTATTAGTTTAAGCAGACTGTGTTTGACTATTGTTGTAACTTAGATAAAGATCAGATCACATTTTATGACCAATTTATGAAGAAATCCAGGTAATTACAAAGGGTTCACATACTATTTTCTGCAACTGTATTTATAATTATTCATGGTAAAACATTTTGAGCCACATATACTGAATATGCTCCATCCTGTAATTACACAATACCGAATACTGAGCATATAAATGTGTGATAAGTTACAACAAAGTCTATTCCTGTGCTTCACCTGATCTGCCTTCTTGCCCACTTTCATGAAACATCCTTTGTGCCATATGTATGGAGAAGTGATCCCCAGCGTCTTCCTTCCCTGAAGAAAGAACAGAAGAAAGAAAAGTATACGTTGCACTATATGTAATGTATTTTTGCTTAGAAATCAGAATATGTAAATCCTTAGTCTTTGTTTTGCCTTGTGTAAGTGAAAACTGAAATCACCAAAAAGAAGAAATTCAAGTTGTATATAATGACAGGGCCCCCTATATAATATCACTTCAGTTCCAAATGTCACACAGACAGTAAGTTATACTGATTTGTTAGAATCAGAGCTCTTGAATTGCTTCACACACACAAACACACACTTTTTGCTGCAGTACTCTTGTAATTTATGTATTTATGTATATGTATATGAAAATTCCCGATTTCACTTCTTCTGTTTTTCTTGTCTTCAAAATACATATCAGTTTTGTGGAGACTTTGCATGAATCCTAATTTTTATATTCTAGGATGAATTTTGGGAAATAGTAAATCATTAGCAGCCTTCTCTCTTTAAATTGAAATATCCACCTGTGTATTTGTAATGTCCAATTTCTCAGTAACTTCTGTGCAAAAGGTGAAAAGAGTCAGGATAAACTGGCCATAATGGTATTCGTGTACAGCAGAATGAGTCACAGGCAGGCAGAATGTAAGAAATGTTGTTAAAGTCAAAGTAAAGCTGTTTCTCAACCGTGGCTCCATTCTGTCACCCTGATTTAAATTTCTATTCTTATGGTAAATTATCATCTGTCAAGAAAGAATAGATTCTAGGCAGGCATAGTCATGAGAGTGACAAAGAAGAGATGGAAGCTGATGGTAAGCTCATGATGATTCCAGCCCAGCTGACTTCTTACCTTGTGCGTCCTCTTCGGTGGCAGCCTGCGTAAAAGAAAGAGACAATTTTAAGTGCTCTCCATGGTCAGTCACTTAAAAGAGACACTGAGTCTGCAACTTTAAACACATGCCTCCCCCTGTCTTTCCCAACTTGTGCCCTGCCATAAATATTTCACGGTCATCATCAGAGAAGTGTTGAACCAAGCTTAGTCCTATCACGTTAAGAGGCGCTGAGGTTATTTTGCTCAACAGCCATTTCAGTCCTGCAGTTGGTCGCCAGTGTTAGACTGAGCTAAATCTGGGCTGTACAGTATAGCGGAACATTTGGTGGAGTTTAAAGTTCACATGCAATGATGCATTTGCTTGATGTAAGAAAAGATTTATGATAGGATACAATATATGATAAATGTAGGCCAATATTAATGTATTAAAATCAACGTTACCTTTAGTTTACAGTGGAAGAATACAAACTGCAAAACGCAGAAATAGTAAAAATCTCCCTGCTTAAATGCGTAAGCAGACCATTTGTTTCATTATTTACCAAATTCAGGGTAAAGTTCTGGAAAGAGTTACTCATGCAGCGCTAAATCATTATGTGGTAGTACTGTTATCTATTTTTTATTTTAAAATTCCATACACTCACATCCCCTGTGTACAGGCCAGTGGACTATTTTCTCTTTCTGTACTTGTGTGTGTAACATTTGTTTATCTAACAGTATTTAACTGCCTGGCATGTAGCAAGAGGCCAAACTGAATCCAATTTGCATCTTTTGACTTAAGAGATATTTTTGCTCCAAATTTCATATTCCCTAGTTACCAATCAGCTGAGATTTGAAGTTCAGCCTTTAAGGAGAATTTTAGCTAAAAGCAGACATTGTGCTGTTTACTCACTCACTGCCTACACAGCATGTCAAATCACCAAATATTTTGGGGCTATTCACGTCTCTCAATTTTAAACCCCATTTTGCAAGAAAATCTGGATAATTTCAGGTGAAATTTTACACTGCAGATGATGAAATCTCTCAGAAGTTGCTGTGTATTTAAGGCTATTTTGTCTGTGTGCATGAATTTATGGTACTCTGGCTGCGGCTGTACAGTTGACAGATTCTTTGTTTTCTTCTTGGGAGGCTTGTTCCTCTATTCTGGCATCAGCTGCCTCTTCCTGCTTATCCTAAGGCGTCTTTTGACTTTTGGTTTCTTTCCTGATACACACACACACACACACACACACACACACACACACACACACACACACACACACACACACACACACACACACACACGCACACACACACACACACACGCACACACACAGAGCAGTGGACCAAGAAAAAAGAGATGTTGTTATATGTGTGTGTTTATGTCCTAGTCTACAATCCATCACATCAACTGTCACATGGCTGGCTTAATTTGATCTTGTCCTGGTCAATATAGAAGTGTATCTGTGACTGTGCTCTCTGCTTCATGCTACATATTTCTATCTTTATAAATATGTGAACCTTGCACATTTGTTTTCTGCATGCCAGCAGAGTGTACTTTGAAAACCAGAGGTAGGCAAAAGCATGGATGCTAGCATTTGGATTTCATCACCTGTAGCTTGCCAGCTAATTAAGCTAAATTCTTTCTCTGCAAGTACTAATGTAAGATCAGACTGGTATTTCAATCTAATAACCATGTTTGTCTGCTTAGCTTCCACTAAAAAGGATTTTATGATGAGGACTAACCCATATCTTTAGTGTAAACAAGTGTAAACTTCCTCAAATTCAATAAAGAACAGGACAGCAGACTGCTATTGTCTGAGCATGACAGTGAAAAGGTGTCACAGGTCTGCGCCACAGCTCCGAGCCCCAGCCATTCAGCTTCTGGAGTTGAGATACAGTCACTCATGCCTGGCCATGGCGTGAGTGGGATTGCCAACCTGAAACCTGACAATGCCTTTTTTCAAACACTTCCCAGATTCCCAGAACTCTTGGTTCATTCTTTCAAATCTCCACACACATCTGGGCCATGTGTCTATGCATTGGCCCCACTCTTGGTGGGCGGGACCAGGGAAAAACCAATAGACATTCATTGCAGCGGAGATGCTGAGAATGCTATCATCTCCTTTGGCCTTAGGTAATTCTGCTTCAAATTTAGCTGCCACAAAGATGAAGGAAGCATTGTTGTATCTTCAGGCTAAACTCATTCAGCTGCAGCAGAAATGGTCTGTCCCTGCCGCTAGCGACGCACTTGCCCTGAGGCAACGGGTGTTTGGAGAAAGCAGAAATGTGCTGCACACTGTTTGTGTAGGAGGCTGCTACAGTGTGCATGATGTGGCACTGGGCTACATAGATAATGTAGGTTGTTATGTGTTGTTTGTTTAAGAGCGTGTCCTGCAGGGAACAGTGAAGTAGTGTAATGCATAACGGCTAAGTGCAAAGAATCCCCTACCCTTACAAAAAGAATGTTCCTTTTCTGCTTTTCTGTCAAAACCATTATCTCTCCGTTAACATCATCTTATTGTATTCAACACTAGAGCCAGAGTTTTAATCAAATGTATTTCCTCCTGTTGTGCAGGTTGACATAGTAACAAGGGATCCCTGGTTCTGGAGGAAACCAGTGAGCTGTCTGCGCATCAAATGCAACATGTAACTAAAAACAGCTTGCTTATATGTTGCTGGGAGTAAGTCAGACTCATGAAGTCCAAGAAGTCTTTCCAACACACAAAGCGCAGCTCAGCTTGGCAACATTCATAACACATGACATGAGGGTGGGACACACTAGTGGTCAGTTTTTAACATGAAGCAGCTGGGAAGGAGGGAAAACTATGAAAACAAAATGGGTAGATCCCTGCTCTCAGTCTTCACAGCTTTTATCCTCCCAAAAAGCAACATTTTGACATTTTGGGGAAAATGCTTATTCTCTTTGTGGCTGAGACTTAGATGAGAGCATTGATACCACTCTTATGTCTAACAGCCACTTAGCTTAGCTTAACACAAAGACTGGAAACAAGGAGAGACAGCTAGTCTGGGCCTGACAACAAAATGCACCTCTAAAGTTCACTGTAAATGTTGTACTTTTAAAATGTACAAACCAAAGTTACTTGAAAGCCATTTCTGTAGTCTAACAAACACAAAATAATCCAAATTTCTAGGAATGTTATCACTACTTACCTCTCACATATAAGAAGTCCTCCTGTAAGTTATCTCTCAACAGCAAAGAAAATAAAAAACCTTCCAAAAAAGCAGGTTATTATGAACTGAAACAACACCAACTGCTGTATATCTTCTACTAACAACAGAAAGAATTTGATCCAAGAACACTGTACTTATGACGGTGGGTTACACCCCATTTCAATATAATTCTTTGGTAACACCCCTTTGCAGTCATGTTCCTTGAAGATAAGGACTCCTACTGTATGAAGCAAAGTAGTGAGAGAGACAGTGAGAGAGAGAGGGGATATATTTAGGAGACGTGACCGACAGATTAAAGCAGGGAGATACAGCTGGCACAGTGCAGGGATGCCAAGAGAAATAGTTCAGTGACACAGCACATTGTATGCATGCTGACACCATATCTGCACTGTTAATGTAAGCTGTAAACAAGCTGAGGTCCACTCCAGGCCTCCACTGTCCCCGGTGAAGTGGGTCACTTGAGTTTGGGCAGATTTAGCATTTGAGAGAGAGGGTTCAAGCAGGCCCCACTCAGGCCCTCAAACCTTTCATTTCACAGATCAGTGATTATTGGCCAGAAAGATAACTGGGGAAAGTTCTTAGCACGCTCACTTCAGGCAGTGCAGATCAAGTTTGACCGTTCCACAGAAGTGACATGAGTGAATGTTGGGGCGGTAAGATTATTTTGACATGAGGTGAAAGTTTACGTTGGTTTAAGGCAGACTGAAGCGGACAATAAAAAGGCAAAAGTAAAGACAGAAAGAAAGACATTCTCACCGCTATGGCTTGCAGCCTTTTATTGGTACTTCTCTGCATCGTATGCTAGATGACATTAATTACTGATCACACTGAGAACTGTAACCAACCAATTTTTGAATCAGGATGTTATCTATTCAATTAGAATTTCTCCATAGACATATGCATACGCACATAGGCTTAAAATAAAAGTAATGCTCCTTGATTCGTAATCCTGTGACAGACTTCACACTTCATGCAAGCATGTTACATCAAAGTGTCTCTCTGCAAAGGGCCGTCTCTTTGAAGTCAGCAGGCTTATAAACCCTTTGAGATGTATAATAATTTACCATTAAAGACTGTTTATTAGTCCACCAGAGATAAGGGAATATCTGCTTCAGGCATGCTTCTTGATGAGCTGCCCAACTAGAGAGTGTTAATTCATATCTCCATTTTGCATCTGAAAATGAGGTGATAGAGTTGTAGGATGTTTAGTATAACCCTGTGTGCTCTTTCCTGACCCTACATAATATCTCCAGGCTGGATGAGATATCGCTGTGACCTCTGTGCAGGAGGGCTGTTACTTCTCCCCAGTGGGAATCACATTATCATTATTGTACAGGGGGTGACTTCAACAGGAATTTCAATGTACAATGGAGTGTGATGCAATTTAGCTTTAAAATATATGCTTCAATGGTGAAGCTTCTAAAATGGACGTTTTGTTATGACAGTAATATGTAGCATGTAGTAGTCATTGTTCCCAGATGATGAATACTACTGACTTTTCCTCTAGCGCCACCATGAGGTTGACTGATTGATTTGAGTGAAAGGTTTCTAATTATTAGATGGATTGCTGTGAAAGTTGATACAGATACAGGATGAATTGTATCTATCTGTTGCGGTTTCGGACAGAACGGACCCAAACGCAACGCTTGTCAGTTTACAAAAGAGGTTTATTGAGGGGAAAAAAGGGGAGATGGGAGATGAAAAGGGGTAAATTGGACGCCGGCAGATGTGGGCGCGGAGGGCCGAGGAGCTGGCGGGGCTGGCAAGGCTTGAGTGAGGCGACCGAGAGGGGGCAGGAGGCCGGGCAGGTAGGCAAGACCAGCTGACTGGATGGTGGAGGTGAGTGGACCTGGCGGGGAGAAAGAAAAGACAGGGTTAGTCTCGGGAGACAACAGGTTAGGGAACGAGGTATCAGAGAGCTTGGAACGCTGAAGTGGCACCAGGACTGGAGCGAGAACCGGGGTAGAAATACTGTTGAAGATGAGGCTGATGGCAGGCAGGTGTGGCGGGCGGAGGTGGAGGTTGACGAGACACAGGTGCGGGTCATCAGCCGGGCTCTGGGGCGGAGAGGGAGAGAGCACACACAGGGGGAGAGGGGAGGAGAAAACAGAAATGCGAGACAAAGGAAAAAGAAACAAAAGAGCACAGGGCACTCACCGTCAGTTGGGCTGCCACCTCAACACTATCAATTTATTGTGTACTTAGGTTTATTAAATACCTGCAAAACTGAAATTGACATTTCCATCAGCCTCAACTGTACACTGTATTTAGTGCTAATGATTAGCATGCTAACATACTAAACTTAGATGTTGAACATGGTAACCGTTAGTTAGGAGCACAGGTACCTGGTGGGCATTATTTCATGTAGCACCAAGTTCATCTGATCCTTTTTTGGCCTGACGGGCTTCAGCACATAAAACTTTGTTGTTGGTTTTTATCATAGTCTGTAAGAAAAGGACGTAGTCATCGTGACGTCACCAGTTGGTTTGTGGACTGCCGTTTCGAAGCCTTGAGTTTGGCCGTTAGGGCGCCGCCGTGGCACTGGATAAGACTGTGGAGCCAGCAGTTCTGTGTGGAGCTAGCTAGCTTGCTTAGCTAGGTGCATCTGTAATTCACGTTAACGGTCATTTTAAGCGAGATGATAATTTTTTGCAAAAAACAGGCTTAAAACAAAATTTACTCACCAGAGAAAATGAACAGCTATCTCCTAATAAGCTTTTCAGCGGCACTGGTTAAATTTACACAATGCCGTGGGTACGTGTCACTCTAGCCTGATTGACAGGTCACCATGGTAATGACTTGTCAATCAAGATTGGTCGGTCCTGAAGCATGCTCTTCTTTATGGTCTATTTTTCTCTAAATAGAGGTTGCTAATGCAACTGGCAGAGCTTGTTGAAGCAGCAGCCGGTAGCTCCTTCAAACTTCGCTACACTTTTGTTTTTTATCTGTTTTTTCTGGCTTTATTGCCAAAACACTATGACATAAATACAGTCATTAGAAGATGAAGACAGGGTTTTTGGATTAATGAGCAGCAGACCACGATCCACCTGACCCAAACAACCGGTACCAGGTGCCATGGCGGGTGCAGGATTCTCTGCACCGCTTCTCTGTCTGACTTCCTGCCCAGTTCATCTACTCTGTGCTGCTTCACAAATAAACAGGCTGTGTATTCTGAGTTTCTGGGACGCGCTGCAGTGCTTCTGGTGTGAACACTAGCATTGACTAGAATGGCTGCGATCAGCTCCGGCAGCTGGGCGCAGACAGACTCAGTGAACTTTCGGAGTGAGTCCGGGGTCATGTAAACTTGGTAAATAAATGATTTGGTAGTAGGTGGGCCCCGTGATGAAGCCCTGCCCCCACTGTGCTGAGAGTCTAGCTCCGCCCCTGGGATGCACTGATCCAACTTTTTTCGCAGCCGCAACCGACGGAAGAGCACTTAGTTTAATGTTACAGATGTCCAAGTGTGTTATCTATTAAGTTTGCTAACATCAACTCGAGATTTATAGTTAGCAGCTAAAACTCTGTCTGTGGCTAATTTTGCTATAACAGTCAAACATCATGCAAGCACAACAACCCAATGCATAGTACGCTGGCAAAGAACTTATTACTTGCTAGTCCAACAGAAAGAAGGCCAGCTCTTGCATCCTTTTAGCTTTAATCTTGTGCCAAACAGAGATGCTCACAAGTCTCTGAGCAAGAGTCCAAGTCAAGTCTCAAGTCTCTGAGCAAGAGTCCAAATCAAGTCTCAAATCTCTGAGCAAGAGTCCAAGTCAAGTCACAAGTCTTTGAGCGCGAGTCCAAGTCAAGTCTCAAGTCTCTGAGCAAGAGACCAAATCAAGTCTCAAATCTCTGAGCAAGAGTCCAAGTCAAGTCTCAAGTCTCTGAGCGCGAGTCCAAGTCAAGTCTCAAGTCTCTGAGCGCGAGTCCAAGTCAAGTCTCAAGTCTTTGAGCTAGAGTCCAAGTCAAGTCTCAAGTCTTTGAGCGCGAGTCCAAGTCAAGTCTCAAGTCTCTGAGCAAGAGTCCAAATCAAGTCTCAAATCTCTGAGCAAGAGTACAAGTCAAGTCTCAAGTCTCTGAGCGCGAGTCCAAGTCAAGTCTCAAATCTCTGAGCAAGAGTCCAAGTCAAGTCACAAGTCTTTGAGCGCGAGTCCAAGTCAAGTCTCAAGTCTCTGAGCAAGAGTCCAAATCAAGTCTCAAATCTCTGAGCAAGAGTCCAAGTCAAGTCTCAAGTCTCTGAGCGCGAGTCCAAGTCAAGTCTCAAATCTCTGAGCAAGAGTCCAAGTCAAGTCTCAAGTCTCTGAGCAAGAGTCCAAGTCAAGTCTCAAGTCTCTGAGCGCGAGTCCAAGTCAAGTCTCAAGTCTCTGAGCAAGAGTCCAAGTCAAGTCTCAAGTCTTTGAGCTAGAGTCCAAGTCAAGTCTCAAGTCTCTTGTGGTTATTACAAATCCAGGTTGCTAATAAAACTGCATGGCTATAAGGAATTCTGTAACTGTAACCTGTTTTTCATTTACAGAGCACAGCCATGTAATGTACAATGCAATTATTGACAGCTTATTAAATACTGTAAGTCAACACACTTCCCAGACTTAAACCCAGTGTAATGTTATAACTAAATAAAACTGTAAGGTTACATGATCAACAATAAACCTGTAACCTCTTTCTAGCCAACGGTAATAATTAAGGTGATGGCAGCCAGCGGGACGTAAATGATTACGTTAATCGGCCACCACAAGTTTGGCAAGTAAACAAACGCTCATTCATCTTTTCATAACGAATGACAGTCGGAGTAAACCTCTCGTTGGTCGTAGCTGAAGCAAGAAGCAAACTAATGTTAGATGGCCAATGCTGAGCTAAACATGTTTACTAACCTCATATTAGTAACCTATGTCGCGTTCAGCGCGTCTTTGTTTGGGTCTTGTTTTATGAAGTTTTAAAGCCAAAGTTTATGAAATGGCACAGCAGCTGCTGGAGTTTCTTGTCCTCTCTCATGTGCGGCCGCGCGCAGCAGATGCTACGTGTTACGTATGCAGGTTATAGGTAACGGAGGGAGGGAATAACAGCAAGCTCATCAGACGTTTCCTAAAAATAAACATTCTTCACGAGTTCCGCACCTCGAGTCCGAGTCGAGTCTGAAGTCTTTTGAGAACGAGTCTCAAGTCACTGTGTGTGCGACTTAAGTTGCACTCCGAGTCCGAGTCTCTAACTCGAGTC